AAGTCGCTGGGGTATATTTGTAGCAATAGCCAACAATACATTGTATGGGTCAAAATTATTGATTTTTCTTTTATGCCAAAAATCATTAGGATATTACGTAAAGGTCATGTTCCATGAAGATATTTTGTAAATATCCTACTGTAAATATATCAAAACTTAACTTTTGATTAGTAATATGCATAGCTAAGAACTTCATTTGGAACAACTTTAAAGGCGATTTTCTCAATATTTTAGATTTTTTTGCACCCTCAGATTCCAGATTTTCAAATAGTTGTATCTCAGCCAAATATTGTCCGATCCTAACAAACCATACAAACATATACACACACGCACATATACAGGTGCATCTCAATAAATTAGAATGTCGTGGTTTGTTAAATGTGAGCCAAAATCATCACAATTAAAAGAACCAAAGACTTAAACTACTTCAGTCTGTGTGCATTGAATTTATTTAATACACGAGTTTCACAATTTGAGTTGAATTACTGAAATAAATTAACTTTTCCACGACATTCTAATTTATTGACATGCACCTGTATAAGCAAAAATAACCACAATAAAGGTATGTGAACAATTATTTTATTTCTTTTTTGTTTTTCAGTGCACTGGAAGTTTAATCCAGACAACTTCCTTCTGCACAATCATACTTATTAATAATAATTCTGATTCTAAAACAAATCTACAATAAATCTGATTTCGATTAGCATAGTTGTTATTTGTAAAAAGCAAACAAACAAATCTGGTAAATAAGTATTAGCCACCACAGTCATTAAAAAAAGTAAACAAACTAACAAAAAGAATCCAGATAAAAGGATTCTTATAAGGCTTCTTACAATGTTTAATGGAGATTCAATATCAATTGGTTTTACTGTAGTAACAACTGCATTAACTATGGTATTTTGTAAGATTTATGACATAAAAATACAGAGAAGTTTAACTGTTTTGCATACCCATCACATTATATTGTATATAAGTACGCTTTTTACGTTTATCTTGTAACTTTGGATGAGTTATCTGTATTTAAATGTATTAAAATAACAAAAGACCGTTAGCTAATGTCACTCACTTATTAGCATGCGCACCGTTGACTGAAGTTGATGTTTTAATAACTGCCTCATAAAAATGGTTTAATCTCTAACGTCGTAAACACTACTTTGTCCAAAAGCTGCAGCTAAATCCATGAGGATTTACTGACTCTTAAATCCCTCGACTAATTTTAAAATAAACGGATGAAAATCCCAAAAGTGGAAGTCTCGCGCGCTAGTAGTAGCAGAAGCAGCGCGAGCGCGTTTCAGTGACACGCACTGAGGCCTAGTTTCTACTCCTACTGTTAATCCACAGCAGGCAGACGAGTCACTCACTTCACATTTAGAGTATAAAGCCTTAAATAACGCGTAATACCTATGCAACAGCCAAAGCGCACAAATCGGCCTAACAGCGCAGCAAAATACGATTCAACCCGTGAAAAACAACTCGCGAGTTCAGTCAAGTGCGTGCAGAAACGAGTTACTGATCTGAAACTAGTTGCAATATTTTTACGCTATCAGTGTCGATATTTGTATTCAGGTGCACGGTTAACACGAAAAGTCGGTTTGAAGGTCGAAATAACGTACGTGCGTTACCTTGTGGTATTTACGGTCCTGTTTTGATTTGTTGCATCATCTGACATTGTTTTGTTTGGACGTTTCTGCTGTTAGCGATTAGCAACAACACCAAAGCCTTCGCCTTCACCGCAGTCTGAGGTCGTTGCAGAAGAGCAAGACAAATCGCAAGCTGCGTGAGAAGATCGCAGCTCGGATATCGTCCAGCGTTTTAGTCCGAATTCATAACACCATCTGGTTAATCCAGACAATTTACTCGTCTTCGGCCATGAGAAAAGAGGCGTACCATAAAACCCTAAACCATAAAAACATTCAAAATGGAGATTACAGTAGAGCATGTTTACATCATGCAGTGCGACCTATTGGCAGCAGTGAGTTATTACATCTCGCCTCTTATTACAGTGACTTGACTGGATGAGAGTGTGATGTGATTGTGAGTAACCTCAAAACAAATCACACTGCCTTCTCTCCCTCTGTCTCTGCTGTTTCCATCTGCCCTTATTCTCTCATTCACACACATCCAGAAAAAATGGTGACGCTTTATTCATTTCTTATTTCATTTATAACATTATAGCAAGATATATAATGCAGACATGAACATTATGAGTAGATCATAAGTAATAATAACATTTGCATTTCAAGCAAATCTGCTGTCCGTTCCACTTTTTTCTTTTTGGTTCTTGGTTTAGTATGTGCTTTATTTTGCTATGCATCCTTTTTTTTGTTTGTTTGTTTGCATTTTTTTTTTCTCAGGGTGTTGCATAATACTTGCAGTGCAATTGCAAAGAAAAAACTTTTACAATTTTTAACACTTTATTTTACAGTGTCCTTGTCACTCATTACATGTAGGCTACTTACATGCAACATGCAATAATCCTAAAGCAAATGCTAATTCTAACACTAACCCTATAGAAATTAGGCTACATGTTGTTAATTAATATTACTCAGTAGCCTACTTAAATGTACAATTACACTTTAACCAGGGCACTGTAAAATAAAGTGTAACCAAGTTTTTTTTTTTTTTTTGACGAATTAGGCAAAAAATTAATTAATTAATTTAATTAATGCATTTAAAAAATATTTTTTAAATTAGACACATAAGGTGTTCATTAACATGTAATTTAATAAAATCTATAATCAGGAGTTGAGAATGCAAGACTAAGTTTATTTTCAAACAGGCTTTTAACATTTAACAGACAAACAGGTTGAATGTAAATTCAAGATCACTCTTAATTTTCATTGTCAACAACCAACCAAAACTACACCAATAGCCAGTGCTATCAGTAATTCGATTTTTTAAATTAATAAAATGTAAACTGAATTTTTTTTGTCAGTTAAACAAAACAACAAAATTAGCACAAAACATTCTAATACATTTTAATATAAATGATTTAAAATTCTTGAATGAATTAGACTACATTAGGTTACATAAATGAAAGGAATATTTCAAGGGTTAATTTCATAATGGCTGCTAATCACGGCTATTATAGTAATTATTGAAATAAACAGCACTTTATGCAGGTGACAACTAAACACTTCCACCTAGTGGATGCTTTTTGTTTCATAGGTAGGTTTTGGAGTAGAAACATCTTAAAAGTGCTTTTGACGAGTTTGATGAATTACAAACGCTCTAGAAAGCACTCTTATTACTACATTTGCATATTTTCCTTTTTGCTGCTGTCATTCATGGTTTTTACACTGGCTTTGTATCTATATACAAATGCAGCAACATGCTTATGTGTACTAATAATCAGTAATGCATCACAACTGGCACAGTCAAAAAAAATGTAATAAAAATTCAGCCGTGCGGTGTTGATTGTGAGGGTAAGCAACTAAACAATCATTAAAACTCATCGTGACAGATCAATTCTTCCCACCACAAAGTTACATGCCTGAAAGAAAATGTCTATTATTAGGGATGCATTTGAATGTCTTTTTTACCTACTTGAGGCACAGCTTACAGGAAAAAAAAAAAAAACAGATGCATAAATTGAGGTGGCGTGTATGTTTTCGTGTAAAATGTGTGGAGGTGTACATAAATCAATTTATTTGTGTTGATTTTCGAAACTAACAGGAATAATGAAACCATTAGAAATCACTAGGCAATGTGTTTACTGCAGGGAACGGGATCAAACCCTTTCACTCAAAAGCAGAAAAATAAATAATTGCAATAATGGCACTCTTCTGGTTCCATTAAGCATGAAGGCAGCCCCACAGCCCTCCGAATGCAGAAACATCCAAATCCACATAAATGGCTCCTCTCTGAGGCAGGGGTGGCTGAAATCCAGAGAATACTGCAAATCTAGGTCAATGGATTGCTGCACAGCTATGATGACTCCCTCCTCCGAAGTGTATGCGTTATGCTTATGGATGGATGAAAACCACACAGTCTGACCAGTAATCCAAGTAATAAAAAGATCATATGCATTGATACATGGATTATCTGTAATGCAACATGCATGCTTTGCATTAATCTGTAGCTGGATGCAAATTTTAATCAGATTTTGTTTTGCATTGCATTTGTTAGTTTACACTTTATACATTTTCCAGTGATCCAAAACACTCCAGACAGGGCTGAACGAGTAGTAGATGTGCACCTGAAGAGTTGTCCTGCATTATTCAAGTGTTTTAAAGGCAGTGGCTGCAGGCATGTTTTCAACTTTGCACGTCATCATGTGGAACTCTGAGTCTTACCTGCTTTAAAATGAATAAAATCAAACAGACAAAGTACATGTTGGCAGCCTAGCATAGTCAAATGATTCATATCTTCTGAGAATTGTGTATTTATAGCAGTCCCTCATGAGAGGGAACAAACGTCAGCTTGAATTCTGAAGATATCATTGTGTTCATGCCTGTATTACTGAAGGTATTAATGCAACAAACTGTGAGTCTTTTATAATGAAGCGTTATTGCAGATAAAAAGAAAACAGCAGAGCATTTGCCATCTGAATCCCACTCACAGTTTCTCCTTTTGGTGCCTAGCAACACTTTTTCAGCAGAATACACTAAATTAGCAGGGTAAGCGTGACCACAGACTCAAAGCCGAGCACACAAATTCCTTGAAACAAGATCAGCACACAATGCCAAAGGTTTGCATACTAAAATAAATATGTTCTCTAACTCAAAGAATCCTCTGGGTGCACACAATCTTGTGAGGGTTACACTAGACGAAAGTCAATAAAATGCCATTAAATTCAGAGTGGGTTTTACAAAATATTCTGTAAGAGCAAAAGCGATGGGAACTGAAATGCTGCTGAGTTGGAACGGTGACAAGAAATATCCATTACACAAAGCCGATGCACTATCACGTAATACTCAAATTACTGTCAAATGTATGTTAGCTGCTTAGTAAAAGCTGACAAACGGAGACAAGTTTGTGTGGATCTGTCCGTGGTCCTGAAACCATAACATACCCTCGGGTCCCCCAAAACGTACCAAACCTAATCTCTGGGAAACTCAACCACTGTTAAAGGAATAGTTCACCCAACAATGAAAATTTGCTTAACATTTACATACAAGATGTAGATGAGTTTGTTTTTCATCAGAACAGATTTGGAGAAATGTAGCATTGCATCAGTGTCTCAGCAATGGATGCTCTGCAGTGAATGGGTGCCGTCAGAATGAGAGTCCAAACAGCTGTTAAAAACATCACAATAATCCACACCACTCCAGTCCATCAGTTAATGTCTTGTGAAGCCAAAAGCTGCATGTTTGTATAAACAAATCCATCATTAAGACATTTTTCACTTCAAACCATTGCTTCTGGCTAATATACAAGTCCTCTCTCCACAATATTGCTTTCACCAGTGAAAAAGTCGCCTGGTTTGAATCAGGAGAGAAATATGCACGGATAAAGCACCATTTACAATGGTTCTAACCAAATATGTGGGTGGAGTTTGATGTGCGAGGACCACAAGAGATGGACTTTACTGGAGGAAGCATTATTATGGATCATGGACTCGTATTTTGGCCAGAAGTGACAGTTTAAAGTTAAAATGCCTTAATGATGGATTTGTTTATTACAAATGCGCAGCTTTTCGCTTCACAAGATGTTGACTGATGGACTGGAGTGGTGTGGATTACTTGTGGATTATTGGGATGTTTTTATCAGCTGTTTGGACTCTCATTCTGACGGCACCCATTCACTGCAGAGCATCCATTGGTGAGCAAGTGATGGAATGCTACATTTCTCCAAATCTGATGAAGATACAAACAAATCTACATCTTGGATGGCCTGAAAATATTTTAAATTTATGTGAACATTTATTTTGCAGCCAAACCGATTCACATCTAGCATGTTAATAGGATGAGTATATTTGGAAATCTGGAGAAGCCGGGTGAAATGCTTGTATCTTTCCAGCTGTCATTTTCCTTTAAGATGATGTAAGGCTCATCTCTCTAAGAATGGTCTCCCTCCCCCGTCCAAAGCCTCTCTCTGCACGCTGCATTCATTCGCACTACGCTGCTGATGCTCAGGAGAGTCAGGATGCACAAACTTCCCAGTCCACCCTACAGATCCTTTTACTGAAACGCTGGGTGGGTGCCTGGGTGGGTGCCAAGTACATGAAGACTAACTGTTCTGGACAGACAAGATTTCATGCAGGAGAAGCACTCTTCTGAGGGAAGTTGAAGCTGGTGCAGTTTTTCATTTTTTATAAGCAGAACTTATTTTTGGATTTTCAGCTGGAGGATAGCTACATGAGCTGCACAATTGGTTCCCTTGGGTGAGAGCTCTTCTATTTCTGCATTATTATAAATAGCTATATTTGTGGGAAAAGCCTAATAGTCTTACCATGTCGTTTTGATGCATTTATACTTTTATAAACACTCTGCAGGTACTGCTGTACATAACACAATAGACAGTGAATGTCTATTAAAGCGCTTGCAGGTTATGTTCCTCTTGACTTTTTGCTCACTAAAAACAAATCAAAAACTTTTGCGTCTCCGCTTTTTCGTTTTTTGAAGCGTGCAACGCACAAAAATGGCCCTGACTGAGAATTGCAGGACTTATCAAACGCCCAAGGACAGTGGATGTGCTCAGAGTTGCTCTTCTGATGTGGTTGAGCTCAATGTAGGTGGACAGGTGTACTACACTCGCCATGCCACCCTCACCAGCGTGCCAAACTCTCTGCTGGGGAAATTATTCTCAACTAAAAAGGACATTTCCAACGACCTCGCGCAGGACATCAAGGGGCGCTACTTCATCGACAGGGACGGATTTCTCTTTCGATATGTGTTGGACTATCTCCGCGATAAGAGCGTCGTACTGCCGGATTATTTTCCCGAGAAAGGGAGGCTCAAACGCGAGGCTGAGTTCTTCCAGCTGCCTGAGCTCGTCAAAATCCTGACACCAGATGAAAACATCCACGGTGATTTTGACGAAGCATCCCAGGGAAGCGATCAGAGGTTGTTCCCCTCGTCTTACCTGGACGCGCGCGATAGGCGCTACGGCTTCATCACGGTGGGATACAGGAGCCCATGCGCCTTTGGGAGGGACACGGATGCCAAAACTCGCGGACTACCCAAAATCTTCATCTGCGGAAGGGTCGGTCTGGCCGAAGAAGTTTTTGGGGACACCCTAAACGAGAGCCGGGATCCCAACAGGCCAGCCGAGCGCTACACCTCTCAGTTTTACCTGAAGTTTCGCCACCTGGAGCGAACGTTTGACATGCTCGCGGAGAGCGGCTTCCACATCGTGGCGTGCAATTCATCGCTCACCGCTTCTCCGCACAACAGACGCACTGATGACAGATACTGGTCCAATAACGCAGAGTATGTCTTCTACCGTAAGTACAGTTTATTTCACAACAATAAACAGCCAGTCGGTAATTATCAACAAATCGTGAAAGCGGTTTAGCCTATCGATTGTTGTCAATCATGAAATAGGCTACATAAACAATTATTGTTTTAGGTTAAAAATATTTTGACTTTCGCAGTGTCCGGTGCCTATAGGCTTATGGGCATCACATCTACATACAGCGCCATATTGCGCAACAGGCGTCCCGAGTTCGAATCCCAGCTCAGGGACCATTTTTATGATATTATTATCATAATAATGGCAAAAACGGCAAAAATAAATCTTTTTATATATTTTTATATCCTTTTAAATGTTATATATATATATATATATTAGTGCTGTCAAACGATTAATCGCGATTAATCGCATACAAAATAAAAGTTGTTGTTTACATAATATTTGTATGTATACTCTGTTTATTTATTATGTATATATAAACACACACACATGCATGTATATATTTTAGAAAA